AAGAGAAGGGTAAGGATTGAAAATCCCCTTTTGGCTAAATGGAGTTATCCCATTTTTTGCGTCTCCTCACATGGCCCTTTGATTGCTGAAATCGGATCACAATCAACAACACAAAATTCACAATGCTGATTCAACATGAACAAGTGGACAGTTCAAATATCGACCGTCTTTCCTTACTGTTGCAAACATGGATTGGTATACTCTACCCCATCGAATCGTGATATTTGATTTTGTATAGGCGGTGCAGCGCAGAGAAAAAGTTTGCTTCAGACTGATAGACAAATGCAATTGTCAGGGCCGTATCATAGAAACAGCATCTATGATTTGGTTAATTGTTGTGTCCTTTGAGCGTATTTAACCTCTTTGGCCATCATTATCTGTACCCCCNTATATCAAAAAAGACTTCAAACCAACCGCTCGACAGGCGGAGCAAACTTTTTCGAGGGTAACCGAACCCTAAGATTGTGAGAAAGATGGCGTACGCAATGCAAAATCAGTTAGAGCCTGATGAGAGAACGATACTTTGCACTTGAATCAACGGCATTAATCAAAATATGTGCAAATAACGTGGATGTATGAGTGCCCGTTGTGTATACAAATCCGTCTGGAATAGCAAATAAGATTCATGGTATCCACCTGAAACAATAGATCAACGAAGTCTCTTGGACCACACTTTCATGAAACTTAATGGCTTATTATCTATAAGAATCCAACCCAAATAAGAGAAAAAATAAACGGATTTGAGAATAACTAGTGGTATGTTCCCAGTCGTTCATGTCGCGTGATTACTTTTCATGTATGGAAAGTGTGAGTGGATATGTATAAGTCACATTCCAAGCAGCATGTTTAACAGCTGAACGAAATTTCCCTGGAAGCACATCACAGGTTTCGCGGTGAATGCCACTCATTATGTATGCATATCCGGCAATCTCTTATCCAGCCATTTATAGGTTTTGACCTCAAGCATATTTTCATCACAAATCTACTCCCCGTTTAGCAGGTTATAGTTTAACGGGTTACGTATCACATGCAATGAAAAATGCAATCAAATCACTCGCCTTATTTCAGTTCAATATCCAGCAGTGTATTCATTAGCTTCCCGAATCTATGGGGTTAGGCCTGGAAATCAGGGATGCCTCAACGGAAGCCAAACTCAAACACAATCTCTCGATCTGTCTGCACCCCATCAGGGCGTGGCCACTAAACTCTTCTTTCCAATTTGCTTCAGTGTCTGAAAATGAAACACGAGGGGGCAAAAGTTATCTGCATATCTGTAGGTGTGCCTCAAATATTCCGGAGTGAAGTTATCTTATCTTATAAAGACTATCAGTTTCTAACACAAACCGTCTGACCTAGTATTTGACCCTGTGATTCTCCCATCAGACAACGGTTTTGTGAGAGGCCGCGTATTGTTACCCTAGACCAACCAGGACATATGCATGGACGGTGAAAAAGAATATAGCGAATCCGTGGCTGAGATGTTACAGATTTGTACATGTCAATCTTCCTTCACTCGTGGTTAGGAAATCTCCTCACCCACCTTCACGCCAATTGTATCTAGGCTCCTGGTGCCGACAAAGCTTTCGGTCACTTCTAGTTTATCACTACCATACTACTGCTACCGCATAACCGCTGGCGTAGGATCCATCCATACAGGCCACAGCCACTTTCAAAGTGTAAATCATATCGCCTGGAATTTATAACAGTGAGATAGATGGATACAAATTAATGGCTGAGCTTAACCAGAAAATGTATATTGTTAGAACCAGTTTAGGTGAAAACTCATTTACTTTTCTTTTTTTAACTTGTTTCTTATCGTAAAACCTCCATTGAAATGCAGTCATTATTTTGCAGAACCACATATTTGTATTGTATTCGATGAAAGTTTTACATGGTCCAAATTCCATCATTCTTCTGTCCTCAATTTCACTCGTTTGCTCTATATTCACTTAACAGAGAATGCTCGTCATCAACGAGTCGTTGAAAGACAGAAATTGACCTCCGAAATAAACGAACTGATAAGAAAAGATAAACAAAAGACAGCCGAAGATATGGAACAACATCAGAACAAATTGATTGAATATCGAAAGGCGCTTGAGGGACAGATTGCCTATCAGCATCAGAGGACTGCGGACGCACTGAAAGAAGCTGAACGAGAACAACAGCGTGAGCAAGAAATGAACGAGACCATACAAAACTTAATCGATCAGCTTGTAAATTCGGAAGTTGATGACCCAAATCGACACCCGTGGAGAGTTCTTCTGGCTCAAGGTCATCCGGGAATTCCTCAGTGGACCGGATCTCTTATATCATCTGCGGCGCCTGGCGAATCTTGTGACTGATTCCAGTTTGAAGAAGGAATAATTTATTTTGTGTTTCCATTGAAATAACTGAATCAGGTTGCATTCAATTTTGATTTGTACTATCAAATGATTGCAATTAGGTTACAACTTCATGTTAACGATCAAAAACATTCAATTTTTCATAAGCTAATGCAGTTTAACTTTCGAAAAAGTTTTTCTTATAAATATATACTGTTCTATTATGGCATATTGATGATAAGCAGCATCTTGAAATTTCTGTTCTGGATATTCGGGGTAGTTTCTCTTTCCAGTGGGCCAAGTTGATAAATAATTTTGAGCAAAGTCCTCCTGTTAAACAGACTGTGGTTTACTGGCACGTTCACCATCCAATGATTGAAATGATAATCATATAAACACAAAAGCAACAATTTTTATTGTCATGTTGCTGCTCAGTGCACGTTTATATAGACGTGGAGAATGAACTGACAAGAATAGTAGTGAGGTTGGGATACTTTTCGCACAAAGATCAAATAAAATTAGGGTTCATTCTATTTTTAGAAACTATTTCACCGAGGTGGTCCGGAAAACCATTCATTTCAGTTTAAACACTCATTTCCCTTGTACTTTTAAGCACCGGACTCGGGTGTTGTCTTTTGACAACTTATTTGGTCGACCAATGTTGGAACAGACTGTAAAAGAAGTGAAACCTGAGAGCAATATCGGAATGAAGATTCGGAACAATCAAATTTGGTATGCCCGCCACAAAGCTGTTGGTTGCCCCTATCACACCACCGGAGTTCAAAGGAAATGCACTTCATGCTTTCTATTGTGTTTTGTGCACAGAACGAGTAGAAGTAGCAACAAACATTCGGAAATCGATCGGAAAGAGTGCGAAAACGGGGACATGCTGCAGAAGTATGGTCTGAGTTGCTTCGTCTTTTAGTTTGTGCACAAATTCGATCAACTCGGATAGTGTAACTGACCATAACCAGGACGTGAATATGCGGTGTTCATGCATTTGCTGAAGCGGAATATATAGAAAACCAAGTTGTTTGCGCAGGATCGTTATCAAAAGATTCATAAAGACGATATAATTGATCGATACATAACTTCTGTTCGTAAGTATAAACTAGGCTCGGAAAGAACTGGGTAGGGTGCAGAACAAAAGACACAACAGTCTTATCCAGTCCTCGCTCTCTGGATTCTACTGTTCTGGGAAACCTTCAACAAGTGGGATTTGGAACAAACAAACAAAATATGACAATAATTGAACACATAGACAATCAACTACTATTTATTTTTCATTAGAAGAAATTGCGTTATCAAATGATTTTCGACAGAAATAATGGAATAAATTCACTGCAGATGTCCATAATGTCACATGCGAATCCATGCAGTGAAGTGATTTTGAAATAAACTACAGATTCAAACTTTTCCTGCCATATTTTACTTACTAATGAGTAGCAAGAGCAGATAAATCTGCAATTAAACAAAGTATTGCTGTGGTGAACGATTTGAACATATTTGAATCTATTCACAGCAACCACAACGAAATCAACCTCTTCATGCTATTGGATTATTTTTATCGGAAACTTCTGGTGACATAAGTGACATAACACGAATGAAGTACAGGTTATGGGAGTGAAGCAGAGCTACGTAAAAATAAACTCATCAAATTTCAGAGTTTGCGGAATGATAAGAACTTATCAAAGAAGATGAACTTTTCGGAAATTTAGATCAATCATATGCCTTGCAAGATTGAAAAAAGATTTGGGAGTGTTTCCGTAAGTATTGCCAACACATGATACATATCGCTGGGACATCACAAGAGCACTGTATAGCTATTTTATCTTTGTTAGCGCAGGTGGCCAGAATCCGACGGGGCAGGGTTGTTAAGTTACACACATTGCAGTAGATTACCCAACCATGATTTTACTAACTCACTAAATAAAGTAACTAGCAAAGTAGTTTGGTTCTACTCAAGTGATTAAATTCTGAGAAATGCTGTGGCAATGTGTCGAAACTGTCGATGTGACGGTAACCAACGCGAAACAGCACAATAACACGGTGTGACAACACATGATAAAAACAGCTGATGTCAATCCTGGTGGCCTATTAGCAACTTGCGCGAATAGCAGCTCAGTGTGAACGAGCTTGAGCAATCCCAAGCCCAGGTGTTTATCCCAATGATGACGATTCCTAACAGAACCAATTATGCAGTGCTTCTAATATTTTTTACTGGCGCGCATGATACCCCAACACAGTATAACTAATATTTTTTCTGTCGTCCAATAGACTGAAAACTAAATGAAACAGGAAGCTTTCCGTTTATTAAATCTCAGTGATGCATGTGAATGAAGACAGAATATATTGAGAAGGGAGATTGAAAAAACATTTTCCTTGCTGTGCTCAGCCTGACTTGTTAAGTATTTGGGTCCTGAAAATAAAATTAATTCGCAGACTAACCGACGACTGTGGATTGAAATTAATCGTAAATTGAAGAGATTGATATGATTTCCGCGTTACCGTAATGACGACTGAACGAGGTGCACCATGTGGTCAAATTGTTTTGTGGTGGACAGCCTTGTAGCCGCATATGCAACGTATCAAGATCGATTGTTGACAAATCTTCGCTCTATCCAGTGTTTTTATGCGGTAATCTTGATCAAAATCTGGTTGCAAAAAACTCAATACTGACTAGAGGATACAATTTTGAACCGCATTTGATAGATATTCGAGAATTTTCATTTCTCTCAATTTCACTGTCCTGTCCGACTAAAGTATTCAAGGATATTCTTTTTCGGATTTTATTTGACAAATCTACCACGTCCGGTTTTCATTTAGTGATTCTACTTTTTCACCATGGAAACAAGTAGACCTTAGAAAGAAAATTCTTTGGTCCCATATTTTTTACTTTATTGTTGTTCTGACCAAGGCTGAGGGGTAGAAATTTTAAGTAATGTGATCAGTTCCGGTTTATGTCCCGCGAAAAGTAATGCCATTACAATCAGGATTACGACTATGCATGCGGAATGAAAATAACGCTTAGGGACGCCGATAGCTGTCTGGTAGTTATGCCGGTTTAAGTTAAATCGTGTGATTCACCTTGAACTGAATTAGTCTCGTGCCTATACAGTTTGAAGCATCACCGAAATGAATTTCTTTCCTTTCTTGTCTGTGTGGTCGACAATTCACCAAAGTCTGCTCGTCAGGAACTAAGTTGAATATAGTTGGAATAAAATCATTTTCATGTAGGTTTTATCACTTTGGGAAGTTTCATAAATAAATGTTTTGGGAAAGTAATTTTAATTTGTGAATATGCCGAACCACTGATCTCAGGTGATCTCGCGCAAGTTGTTGGCTCACAAGCATTCAAAGGAATGGTTTAACTTTACTGTTTGCACGGTTATCTCTTCCGTGCCTCGGAGACCACTCCAATAACACCTCTGACCGCAGCAGGGCACCAGTGACAATAAACAATCAATCATACAGCGATCGATAGCGTGGGAAATCAACGTTCGATCTGATAGTGCTGACACATGTCCTCAACTGATGAACAACCAGCCTGCTTTGGGAGTTGGATGGACACAAAAGTTTGAACTCCATCACCTCTCATCGGAGGACATGATCAAATCAATCAAGACAATGATGTTGGAGGAGCAGTGGCAGCTTGTCCGTTTCTAAGCCACATTACTTGACTTCAACCTTAGAGATTCAATCACACCAGCCAAGTTTCGGAGGTGCCAATGATCAAAATTATATTATTTTGGAGCATTCTCAACCTTTGTGAACAATATGAAATAGCCATTATTAAGTATGCGGAGAATGACGATCTAAGAGCGTCAACTTTAGAGTGGAAATATATTTCGACTTAAAAATTATAAATCGCTCGCCAAAGAATAAATAGAGTAGAGTACAAACCAACCGGTCTAAATGACAAGCCACCAATCCTACTGAATACTAGTGCACTCAAATCTGCTTCTATTCTCTGTTTTCCGTTCTTCTAATATCTTTCCCAGAGGTTAGAGAACTGTTCATGTTTTTCCATCCATAGGTGTGATGCATCCTGTTCTCTGCAGAAAAAATCTTTCTTCCTCCTCGTTCCTGTCTAAACTAGCTGTCTAGAGAGCTGGAAATTGCAAAACAATTTCACTGCAAACGTAGTAGGAATTATTGTCTTTGGTGTCGTTGTCACAGGTTCACTGGCCACCTGTTGGCACATTTGGTTTACCACCATTTAGCACCATGTCAACCCGTTTCTGGTATTCATTGATATATTCAAGGCCTCAAACCAATTTAGTCATGAAGGACTACTGAAGAAATTTCGCATGATCCGGTTAAAAACCTCGTTTTGTGTTGATTGGTTTGTTTATGAAAGAAATTCCAATGTACTCTGGAAAATCTTTCTTCTCTCAGTTACTGCCATATTTTCTGTTTTTGTTTATGTTCCAATTTTCCGCTTTCATTTGTGCTCTCTTACCGTTCTTGAACGTGCGTTCAGGAAGATTCAACACCTTTTCAGTAAGAAGCGGATGTCACATCTTCTTCTTATACAGCCCGAATACATAAGTACACAGAAATACGGAGTATATAATATGAATGATATTTTTATAGGTTTTTTAAATTTAAGCTGTTGACAATTGACAATCTGTAGATTCCCTCATACTGGATTTCAAAATGAACTCAAGGATACTTCAGTAACGTATCTTTCTTTCACTGCAAGTAAGCGTTCTCTAGCTAATATTCAATGAACTATACGATTCTTTTATATTTGTCTTCTGACTTGCC